ATAGCTGTATAATAGTCCCAATTTACAACTAAACTGTGCTTTATCTTACACACTGATTTAACTAATTTGCACACTGTTCTACAAATTTCAGTTTAAGTTTTACATTATTATATTTAAGTATGGAATTGTAGTGAACCTCGTTGGTCTCTCATTGTACCCCAGAGAGAAACGGTGGTGGGAGTGAGAAAAATAAAGACAAGAGACAAGAGCTGGGGTCAGGTGGAGTTACCTCTTGCCTGATGAGCAGGAGGGCTGACTTCAACAGTAGGGGGCGTTTATTTTATACACTTGCAAAGTTAGTATCATGGGGGGGGGTAATGTTGCCTAGCGACTAACGACTGTAATCGTCCAGCAGGATGCCTTTTTCAGTACTGAGGTAGCTTGACTGCTTGACCAATAACCAGCTCCAGTAGCTCCCAACCTGGGATAAGTAGCTGGTACATAAATTTGGGGCCATAATTCTATTATTTCCTTGGGCTGGACATGAGTGAAGGAATCACTGAAGGTAAGCCTCTGATTATACATTTCCAATGTGTTTTCTAGAAAAGTTTTACCAATTCACATTGTTATCACTAGGTCTGTATTTAGAAATACCTGTATCACTCCTGACATTAAACGTGGTGAGATTAAAAAATCTCCATTAGCTGTGCTAATATACAGGAAATTATTCTCAGATGTACATTGATCATTTGTAAGACTTTTTCTGAATTACATGCTCAATTTGTTCTTTAATTTCCTAATAGGGGTTAGTGTTATTTATTGCACTGTATGGATTTTCTACATACTAATGATATTATAGAACATTTTGCTAGAAAAATCTATTGTTCTTACCTTCCACAGTTTTTTGGTTTAGAAATTCCTATATCCAAATAATCAACAATTAACTATTCATCTATATTTCTTTTTTTAAAAAAGCTTTGCTTGTTTAATTTTATATTTCATACAATTAGTTTAGAATTTTAATACACTGCATAGTCAGGACCAAACCTGATTTTTCCCTCAACCTACCTAATTTCCCTAGCATAATTTATTCAATAAACAATCTTCTAACACTGTGTATTTTCTATTCTATAACATAAAAAAGACTAGAGATGCTATACCAGAACACATTCACTGTAAGAGAGAATGCTGAGCAAGGCCACTGTGTTTCAGATGTATCAAGTGATAATTTGAGTGACAAATGTCAAGTACTCAGTGCTTTTGTAATTTTCTGTGAACAGGAAGAGTAGATGCCTTTAAATTCTGAAAACACAATTTTAGCAGAAAGGGGAGAAGAGACCACGAGAGAAAGAAGCTATGGCTCTGTTACAATGAAAGGTAAGATGATGAAAAGGGCTCCATACATACTCTGTCCCTCTCAGAGCAGTTTTACACTAGAAAGGACTTTAGAAATTAACTCCATACTTTCAAAGTAGAAGCCAGGATTTTCCAAATCAAACAACTAGCTAGACAGAAGTAGAAACAATACCAAGGCTTCAAAGTAATCCCAGAAAAAGTGTCACCAAGTCAGTCCTATGGTTTCTGATATATAAAAGTTTCTTTTTAAGAAAAAATAATTGTTTCACATTCACTGAGCTATTTTAAGGATACAAGACAGAAAAGTTATTTAAGATAAAGGTAGAAAAGTTTACGTTATTTATGTTGCTAGTCAGTCCCCCCTTTTTTTTTCCTTCTGGTACCGGGAATGGAACTCACGACCTTGAGCTTGCCAGGCAGGCGCTGTACCGCTGAGCTAAATCCCCAGCCCATACTGTTCAGTCTTGAGATATTTTTAGAATTAGTTTTTTTAAAGGATAAAGTTAAACTTATGAAAAATCAACATTATCAGATTACTTTCTGAATCTCTCAAGGCAGTGGGTGTCCAACTTTTTTTGCCTATTACTAAATATTTAAAATATTTCAATATTTATTTTTAAACAGGAAAAATTAGTATTAACTACTTATATTAGCCTAATAATAAACATATTCTTTAGCAATAAAACAGTCTCAGAAATCTACTCTAACTTTCTTCTGATCCACAAAACATTAACACCTTTCCCTGGAAGCTGCATTCAAAGTCTCTAACATTACTCCAAAATCACCAAGCGCATCAGAGAATACTTTCACTTACATGTTTCCCATGCGATACAAAGACCAGTTACTTAAGGAAGTCGTATTTTCTTTCTCTCTCTAAAAAAGACATCTGTGTTACTAACTACCTGTATAACTGTGATAGGAGTATATGACAAGCCTTTAGGAAGAATAAACTCTACAAAAATATGCTTGTCTGCTTGCATTTTCTTTCTCTGACTATATTTAAGAGATTTTTTTACATCCCACACTCAAATATTCTAAGGCCCCCTGATTTTTCCCTCTGACTTTTTATTACCCTTTAGTCTTTTCTGAAGCTGTGCTATTTTCTTAATGGACAGTAATAACTAGATGTTATCCCACAAAGTCTGAGTTTAATCTCTTCTCTCATGCATTGTGACAATTAATCATAGTATGCCAACTTCACTGGACTGAGAGACACTGCCTAGCGGGTTAGTTAAGCAGGCTCTGGGTGGGTCACGGAAGTGTGGCCTTGGGTCCTAGACATGGTCCCCTGCCAGCTCCTCTCTGGCACTGTTGCTCTGCCCTCCTTCCCTGGTGCCCTGGAACGAGGCATCTTCGCTTCTCCATGCACTTCTGCCAAGGAAACCTACCTCCATGTGCCACATCTGAAACACGGAGCTACCTTAGACCTTTCCTCGTTTAATCTGTGGGTGCTGGGTATTGTGTCTCAGTGACCGGAAAGTTCACTAACACACGCATGTTCCTTGGTCGCTGCGACTTCCCTGATGTCAATAGAGAAGGGCTTGGCGATAAACTGTACAAAGTATGCTGAGCAGCTCTGCGTTGTCCTTCTTACCCCGTAATACCCCATGGCTAGCCTAGTAATGCTTAAACCTGTGTGTACAGGAACAGCCATGAGAATCTGTTGAGACACAGGCGCTGAGGCCCTTCCCTGGTGTGCGGGATTCCACAGCTAAGGCGCACTTCTAGTGACTGTCATCCCGACCACCCAATGACTACACGTGCTGCAGTGATAACAAAAATGGCCCCGACTGTCCACTCCTCTGACAAGAACCTTTGCAGGGTGACTCTCCTGTTCCTCTGCTGCCTTTCCCTGAATCTCAGCTGTTCTTGTGGCCTGCTCCAGCAACAGAATAGTGCAGAACTGAGGCTGTGCCGCAACAAGCCTTGCTGGTTTCCACGCTGAGCCTTGGAAAGCATTTGTGAACAACCCCAGGCTGGTCTGCTGTGAGAACCGAGCTGTGGCCCAATCACCACTATCAGTGGACAGTCAGGCCCACAAGAAGCCACTCTAGACCGGCCAGCCCCCAGCTGACTGCTAAACACCACAGCTACCCGGCCATAATCAGTGATTCTGGGCCAGCTGACCCACACACCCTTGAGAAAGAACAAATGTTTATTGTTTTAAGCTATAAGCTCTAAGTTTCAGGGTCACTGGTTACTGATTGGTTACCCAGTGACAAACTACGGATACACCACAATTCTAACGTTCTTTACCTGAGAAAAACTGATTTCTCTCTTCTTTTTTACCTCTCCTGCCACATTCTTAATACAGGCAGATCTTTTCAGGAGAAAATAATCTTTTATTCTTCTCTTATTTCTTCTTCAGACTACTACAGAGTTCTGGGTTGACTCCCCACTTGCTGTTGTACCCCATGTCCATGTGCACTGCTACTGCTTATATTCCTTAGAGTCTGGAGTTACACTGTCATCACTTATATATTGTTATAATCCATAAGGCTTGATACCTCATAAATGCTCAGTCCTTGTTTGTCGAATGACAGCTGCTGGATTCATCAGACACAGATCAGAACACATCTTTCTCCTATGAGGAACACTACTGGCATTTGTATCATTTGTTGGATCCATTTTCCACCTGGCCTATTTAATTCTAGGACTTCTGTGACAAGGCCCCAGCCTAGCTCTTAACCCTTCTTCCCTGTCTTAACTATTTAAGGAGTGAACACACCTCTTATTTACTTCTGTAGTCATTGACATTCAGATTCCTGCCTAAAATCCCCTTCCATGTCTCCGCAAAGCCTATACATTCTTGAAGGTCCAGTTCCAATGCCAGCTCTCCTGAAAAAAATCTGACAGCTCTAATTAACAAACAGCTCAGCCCCCTCTTCTCTCTGCCTCCAGCATTTAGCCTGAGTCTTTCTTAGGTAGCAGATATTATAGTTACCTGTACAGCATTCCCTACCCTGCATTGCTACCTTTCTCAGGCCAGGTTTCATCTTTTCCTCCCCCTGTTCCTTTGTAACTAGTACAGTGCTCTACAGAAGGCATAGTAAGATTGCCATAAATGCATATTGAATGAATGGTTGCTTTTCAGTCACTATAAAACCACAATCAAAGCTGTAATACCCAGTGTCGTAAGTCAAACCCAGAACAAAAAAGGGCAGAATACATGTGTTGGTTCTCACATATCAGTTTGTAAAGCAATCCTCTGGAATGTCTATTAAAAATACAAATTCCTAGGCTCTGCCCCCAGAGAGACTGGTTCAGCAGATTTCAAACCTGGCTTTGGAATCTTGGCCCATGTGATTCTGACAAAGATCTGTGGGGGGTTTTTAGGCAACACTTTGATATACGGTGACACAGAGCCTGCTTTACAGATATGCATTCCAAAGTAACCCCTTTTTTTATGCACCCAAGAAATTTTTATTTTAAGTTTCTTGACTTTAATGTCAAAGCACTGAGTGGAGCAGCCTTATTAAAAAAACCACTTTAACAATCTGCACACGGTCTGGCACCTTATTAGCTTAGGTTGCTGGGAATATGGCATCACACCCCATTCCTTGTAGTCACAATCTGCACACATTTTTCATCTATGTACTCTTTTTACAAACTATTTAAAGTTTAGTTTGCTACAAATACCTTTTTCAGACCACCTCATCATGTGAGGTGTGCCTTAAAATAACTAAAGGGTGCAAGACTCCTACCTCGGTCCCTGAGGCTAGCTCTTACTGCTTCCTCTAGCTGCTCCTCTTCACTTAGGCCTGCGGTGTACACATCATAGTTTCCGGGCACTTCTTCATTGTACCCTGCGCTGCCATACGGATGATGATCCTGATATCCAGAGTGGCCTATGGGCACAATGAAAAATTACACAACACAACATCGGCCTGCTCTTCTGTTTCAGATTTTTTGCTTTGCACATGTGAAGACAAGGAAATACGTCATGTCATATTCTGAGTGTAACAAACTCTTCAAAATAGGAAAGGTTGACAAATGCAGAATGCCTCAAGACTGGGAAATGACGGTCTGTCACTGTTGTATGCACAGTGCCCGACACGGACCCGGACTTGAATGAGACCTTCTGTGCTACTGGGGAAGAAGTATTAGGAGGTAGCCAGAGGGCCCGAAGAAGGGGCTGTTGACATTGACAGTGGCCTCTTACAGTATAAAGGTATTTAGTACTTGCAGTATTTTCTGGCAAGTCTTGACTTGAGTCAAGAGGATGGTGGAAAGAGCTGAAAAAGCCTTATTATCTTGTGGCTCCATGCAGCGAGAGGCAGACTAACTTTAACATATGTATAGCAAAGAATTTCCAAGCTGAGTATCACACTTGAGAGTAATCACAAGATTAAGATGGACAAGGCAATCTCGTTGTAATTATAATTCTGTTAGAGGTTGTAATTCTTAGTAATAGCATTTGCAAAAAATTTGGTTGCTAGACAAAAACAAAAAAAGAAGAGACAACCCGGTCATTAAAAAAATGCTTTAAGTACTCAGACTTACTCAATTAATAAAGGTAAATAACAGAGGAAAGTTCATTTATGCAGAATAGTACTATCAATCTTTTCAGTCAGAGTTTTTTTTTTTTTTGGTTTTTCTCCGGTACCGGGAACCGAACTCATGACCTTGCACTTGCCAGGCAGGCGCTTTTGCCGCTGAGCTAAATCCCCAGCCCCCTTTTCAGTCACAGTTTACTCTTCATATTTTCTTTAACTGCCAATTGCTCCAGAACTAGTTTTGAAGAGAATTTTTTCTTCCTATAGAAGATAATAAATCTCACTGGCACAGAGAGAAGCTAGAGTTTATTTAATTTTCTTCCTTCTGTCTTGCCATGATCACATCCTTTGAAGATGATGTTTCAGGTGTTTAATTAATGTGCTTTTTGTTGGTGATGAAAATTCCTGAATTTACTGTGAATCTTGTATCATTTTCATATCATTCAACACAGTATAGAGCATGCCTGAGTTTTAGTAAGACCATACGAAAAAAAAGTAAAAAAGAACTATACATAGCAGAACATGCATAACTGAAACTTCATATTTGATTTTTTTAGTAATTGGTACCGAGGCTAGTCTGAAGTTTATTTTTGTACCAGGTATAAAGTAAAATATTTTCCTAATACGCAAAATTAAAATGCAAATGGTGTATCTGCCAAAAACTATTTTAGCACTCCATTATTTATTGTCATATAAACAATGAAATTACAATAAAACAAACTAGTTTCAGCTGATAGTATTTTTATGAATTTTTACACATATTTGTTATGTAAAGTATTTGTGTCCATTAATTTGCATGTGTGTGTGTATGTGTGGTTGGTACTGGGAATTGAGCCCAGGACCTTTGTACTGAGCTACATTCTCAACCCTTTTAAAAATTTTTATTTTCAGACAGGGTCTCATAAAGTTGCCCAGGCTGGCTTCGAACTTGAATTCCTTTTGCCTCTGCTTCCCGAGCCACTGGGATTATAGGCATGCTCCACTGCGCCTGGCTCTCCTGGTATTTCTGTAAGAGCTTTTAAAAGATATAATTGATTGGTATGGTTTTCGTATGTGTCCCTGAAATTTGTGAGCTAGAACTTAATCCCCCAAGTCATATGCTGATGTATTAGGAGGTCAGACCGGATTAAGACGAGACAAGGGTGCAACTCCTCTGACTACACTAGTGGCTTTACACGAAGCAGAGGTAAGACCAGAACATCACTGATCACCACATAATGCCCCCGCCCTCATCAGATGCCAAGAGGATGCCAGCACCATGTCCTCAGGCTCCCCAGCCTCTAGAACCATGGAGGAAGTAAACCTTTACTCTATGAATTACTCAGTTTCCAGTTTGTAGGGGGAACAGAGAACAGACTAAGATGTTGAAGTTCACCAACTTCAAGTACATAGCTCAATGGTTATCAGTGTGTCTGTACAGATGTACCATCATCACCACAATCATGCTTACATACTTTTATCATCCCCACGAAAGAAACAGTCTTCAGCTCATAGCTCTCAGCCTTGCTCTCTTCCCCAGCTCTTAACTACTAATCTAATCCTCTCTCCGCACAGATGCCTATTCTGAAGACTTACTTAAATAAAATTGTCTACAGTGGTACCTGGGTTCACAAAATTAACTCTTTCCACGTTTCTGGTCATAACCTGAACCTGACAAGAACCGAATCAAATTCAATGGTTAGGTTCAATGTCCTTATGGGGAATTTTGATTTGGTTCTCGTTCAATTCAGTTTGCAACCAGAATCGTGGAAAGAATTGAGTTTGCGAACCTAGGTGCCATTGTAATGTGTGCTGTTCTGTGTCTGGCTCATTTCACTTAGTGTTTTCAAGGTTCAACAATGCTGTGATGTGCATCAATATTTCGTTCCTTTTTATGGCCAAAGGATATTCCATTGTATGGATAGACCACTGCTTATTTTGTTTTTCATTTTTTGAGACCACTGTTTTGTTTTGTTTTTCACTATGCAGTTCAGGCTGACGTTGAACTCACTATGTACTCCAGGCTGGCCTTGAACATGTGATGGTCCTCCTGCCTCAGCTTCCCAAGTCCTGGAATTATAGCTGTGCACCACATCTGGCTAGAAGACATTTTAAAATCTACACACCAGCTGATGAACACTGGGATTTTTTACCCCTTTGAATATTATGAATAATCCTGATATAAGTATTTGTGGACAAGCTTAAATGTGGATATATGTTTTCATTTATTGAACACTGACCTAGGAAGCGGACTGCTCAGTTCTAACGGGCAGGAAGCAGTACCTCACTGCATTTTTGATGTTGAGTATTTTTTTAGGCTCTGATTGGCCATTTATACAACTTCTCTGAAGTAATGTCTATTCCGATGCTTTACTCATTTTTACTCTTCAAGGTTGGCTCTATTTTACTGAATATCCTTGAAGTTTTAAAAAAAACAGGTTATGTAAGAAACCTTATATAAAATTGCTTAGGATTTTGGGCACTAATTCTGAAAAACCTTGTTCTGAATGTAGTAAAAATCAGTGAGTACTTACTAGATATTTCATGCCCTAATTTTCATGCCATCTCTCACTTGTATCCCATGTCAGAATATTAACACTACTCGTATTTTAAAAAGGAGATAAATAAACTTTTCATATCATCACAATGGTTTATGATCAAATTGGGATGTGAGTACAATTTTAAAAACGGACATTCTTTCTCAAATTAGTATGTACCCACTGGAACCATCAGAAAAATTCAGCTCTTGCTGATGTGTTGGGGACACCCTTCCCCCTCAGTAACTTTCGTATCTTGAAAAGTAAAGGCGACTGTAACAGAGGTATGACTCTTATTTCCTGTTCTCCTCAGCAACAAGAAAACTTTCATAGGAGAGCAATCAGTCAAACCAGAATTAATCCTACTTCACATGGGACAAAAGAAAGGGGCACTGACTCCAAAACACTAATAGAATATTTATGGCTAAGTCACTGAATACCATGAGGTGCTTCAGAAATCCCCGAATAGAGAGACTGCCCCATTCCCTAATAACGTCAATTATTTTATTGCAACACAACAAGCATATTTGGTAATTTCCCACAAGGCTCATTATCACTTTCAAACCCCTGCGGAAAGCCATTCTGTTATGGGAAATCTAAGCAGTGTCTATCTACCCACCCTCCAAAACACTCAGCTATTTCAAAATTCAAATAACCCAGTCTCTGGATACTCATGTATACAGATGCTACATATATTTATAGAGTTTAATTGCAGGTACATCTGCAGTGATTTTATATAACATTTCCTGATACAGAAAAAGATTTTTCTTCATGTTATTTCTTATTTTAAAAAATACCCTAGAAGTGCTTTAATGAAGTAAAGATAATGACTCTAAACATCTGAATATTCTAAAACCTAATTTGGAACTTCTCAGACAAAATGTGGGGAGAAAGAATGAGAAACTTTCAGTGCCTTAAGTAAAAAACACTGGTGTGATTAAAAGTTGTATATCATCAATCATAAATCATCAACAAGACCAAAAATCCCATCAATAGCTATTAGGATGAGAACAGGTCTCCTAGGACCCAAAATTTTCTGCAGCTGTTCTGCTGGCCCAATCAGTTGTTGTTAAATCTTTGTAATAAACATTCCTTGGAAAACCTAACTATCAAACACTGAAGATAAATAAGTTTAAATTATATCCTGTGATGAATACTCATTTAAAGTTTTCTTTTAGCTATATACTATGGGGAAACTATTTTAGTTATATACTTTGGTAGGAAAAGAAACTCTGGTTATCATTATTCTATTAACTACTCCATCTGTTCCTTATACACATACCAGGATTTCATGGCAAAGGAGATCAAGAAACACCAGCAAGATTAGAAAAATTGGTAACAGCTTTTTAAACATTCATGAGGTTCTTTGACCTATAAAGACTTTCCCAGCTAAGGATCGCCATGTTAAGAATGAATTATTACTTGTAAGGGACACATATGCTTTCATAAAAGTTCCCTAGATGACCATTAGCAAGGCCACCTGGCCTTCTATAGCTCTGCCTTTGAAGAAATCCAATCACTTCAGAGGAAGGAATATAAATACGGTAATCTTACAGAGGATCAGAGAGAAAGTAAAAGCAGCTTGTATTTTTGCCTGAAGTTCTCTGGTCTGTGTGTCTGCTAGGCCTCTGCCTCTTCCATATGAAAGAAGAAAGGAGCAGGTTTCTCTCTTTTTTCTTAATAAATGGAGTGCAAAAAAGGGAAAAAGATAAAAGGGAAAAAAAGAGAAAAGAATAAATGAACTGCCCTACTTTATAAGGTCAAATTGGCAGAGTACCCACTCACATCCCTGTACAAGAGAAAAAGCAGCAGCTAGGAAGTAGTGACTCGCACCTTTGTCTTAGTTCTGCCACTAATTACCTGGGTGAATTTAGCCAAATTAACCAACCACAATTTCCTAGCCACTACGCCAAATGTTAGGACTAGATAACCCATGACAGTAAGCCATGTATGTGCACAAGTACGTGCTTGCTATGTTTTTCACCGAGAAGAGCACAGCTGCTTGTTTTGGGGATGTGAAAAACTGAACCAGAAGAAAAGCCCTTATCCCTCTAGCAACTTCAGCTATCCCTCTGTTCCTGTGCCCTGCCTCGGGGAGAGCAAAAAGTTAACAGAAAGAAACCACAACAGGAAATACAACCAGGATGGTTCTCTGGGCCAACTCAGCTCTTCTTACTCACAAAGGCCAGTAAAGCTTCTTTCATATTTAAATCAGTATGAACCAGTAGTTTACAACCAGCAGCCAAAAGTGCCTTCATTTGTTTTTTTTTTTTTTTCTTCCAGTACCAGGAATCGAACTCATGACCTTGTGCTTGCCAGGCAGGCGCTTTGCCGCTGAGCTAAATCCCCAGCCCCTAAAAGTGCTTTCAAATGACTAGTTAGTTATCAGCTTTGTCCTTAACGACTTAGCAAGGCTTCTCTCTTCAGGTGAAGTCAGTATTGTCCAACAACTATTCCTCTGCATCCAAGACCAATGTTCTGGGATTTTTAAGCATCCAAATCAGAAGTAAAAGGGGCTGGGGATTTAGCTCAGCGGCAAAGCGCCTGCCTGGCAAGTGCAAGGTCTTGAGTTCGGTTCCTGGTACCGGAGAAAAACCAAAAAAAAAAAAAAAAAAGAGTTCGGTTCCTGGTAAAAAAAAAAAAAAAAAAACCAAATCAGAAGTAAAAGCCTCTTCTTAGGGCACAGATATCATTCACTTCTCTGGTCCCCAAGCCTAGGGAACCCCAATCACCTAAGGCTATGATTTTTGTTCCTGATACAAACTGAATCACCCAGGAGCTTTTCTTCAAAAAGTCCCAATCCCTGCCTCTGCACTCATTCTGACTTCACTGGTCTGGGAAAAATTCAAGGCATGGATAAGTTATAAAAGCCCCTACGGCAATACACACATTATGCAGCCAGGACTGATACTAAGGATCTGAGGCTTGAGAACTACACAGAAAATGCAGTTTGACTGTAACTCCAACACTATCAAGCTACTGATTTAATTCTTTAATGTCTGCCCAGCACCGTCTGAATAATCGCAAGCAGGCCTTTCCGGATCCTGCTTCTGCTCACTAGAAAGCCCTTTCCCTCCACTGCTTTCCTGAATTTCTTGTCATCCATCACGTCCCGGCAGTCCACTTCCTCTGGATGACCGCCCGTAAGGCAAACCCACTGCCTTCCCAGCCTGAGTGTGAACCCTCGTGTTAATTTTGCTGGGCTGCATTTCTGCTTCTGCCCCAAGGAACGACTGGCTCTGGGTTAGCCCTGCAGCCAAGATCAAGAAAAAGACTGAAGGAAATATACGAAAATATTTTCAGACACAGTATAAAAGGTAATACAAGAGCTTGAGTCTTGAGCAAAAGGAAATAAAGGAAGTGAGCCTGGAGGTACCTTCTCGGCTCATTTTCACTCTTCAGGTTCATTTTACCAGCTTGGCTGGTGCAGAGGCTGCAGCTCCCTGTGTGTGGGGGGGGGGGGGGCGGGCCAGAGCAAGACCACCAGGAAACACAGCAAGAATTCAACAAATACTAACATTAATGGCTATCATCCCATTATTCTCACATCCCACATGGATTAACATTCTATTTCTACTCCCTGGTTAGCCGGCAGCACCTACATCCCATTCACCTACTATAAACTGCCTTAGATAGGACTGTTGGTCTTTTTCTCTCTCTTACAATGTCCAACCTGCTACTCTGTACAACAGGACCACTCACAAAACGCTACTGTGTTAACCAGTCTGTGGCTAAGAACACCGTGCATGCTGAAAAGGTGGTAGTCTGCATTTCACTACTGAAAGGAGGAAATGTTTACTTTGGCTCCAGGTTTCAGGTTTCAGTCCATGGTGAGCTGGAAACCAGGCGGAAGGGCAGGGTGGAGGAAAGCTGCTCCCCCATGGTGGGCATGGTGACCTGCTTCCTCCTCCTCCTTTTGTTCTCCTTGGGCCCCCATCCTATTGGTGGTGCAGCCTACTTCAGGGTGGGTCTCTCCCCTTCGTTTGCTGTCTCACATGCAATCGTCTCTGGAAACACTCACATTCACACCCAAAAGTGTACTTTCCTAAATTCATGTGTGCTTCTGAATCCAATCTGCTTGACAATCAATTATCATGGAATTTTTTGCTCTGATATTATTTAAGCAAATGGTCAAAAAAGCTGCAAGTCATGGTCCAAATCCAACCAACTGCCTATTTTTATGATATATTTTTACTGGAACACAGTAAGGCCTATTTATCAATGGTCTATGGCTGCTTTCGTGCTACAGGGACAGGATGGCTAGTTCTGACAGAACCATACAGCCAATGGGGCCTAAAAGGTTAACTACTGGCCCTTTATAGAAAAGCCTTCTGAGCCCAAGTTTAAGCTACAGCAGTTCTCAAGTGACATAAATATAATACATATATTCTGAATATATGTCACAGCAGTCTATTTGGCCTGCTATCACAAATAATCCAACTGGGTGGCTTAAGCACAATGATTTCTCTCTCACAGTTCTGGGAAATGGACGTCCTGGGTCAGAACGTCGGCCTGCTCGTTCCACGTGCTCAGCCCTGTCCTGCGGTGCAGGCTGCCAACTCCTGGTGTCATCACAGAACAGAAAGCAGACTAGAGAGCTTTGTGGGGTCCCTTTTATACAAGCATTGATCCCATCTGTGACAGCTCCACCCTCATAACTGAATTTCTTACCAAAGGCTCCACCCCTAAATTCCATCATGTGAGAGGTTAGGGTTTCAAGATCTGAATTATATCTGACGATACTGATCCAGGATATTACGCTATAGCTGCCTACTCTGTCTTGAATAGGGTTTGTCCCCCGAACTCATGTAGGAATTTAATCCCAAAAGACATTTAAGAGGGCAAAAATTGAATTGATTATGGTATTTAAAGGTAGAATCTTTGGAAAGGGATCAGTTCTAGACAAGGTCATTAGACTGGAGGTCTCATACTTGAATTCTGTGGCTTTAGAAGGACAGAGAACCCAACACACACAATCGTATACACTGTCTCTCACTGTGTGCTACATCAGGACATGGCCAGCAAGAAGCCTGTCACCAGAACTGAGCCAATGCTAGCATAATGCTCTTTTACCTCTAAAATTGTCAGCTAAATAGAGCTCTTTCCGTCATAAAATTAGCCTGCCTTAGGTATTTCATTAGGGTAACAAAAATTTAACACTTTGTACCAGGCTGGAATGTAAAGGCCTTACCTAAAACAAGCCTCATGCTGTTAACAGGAAGCCCTTTCTACATATGTAAACAGACATCTAGAACACTCTGTTCTCTTCTCTAAACCACGCAGTATTTATTGGAGAAATTCCTATGAGTATTTTAGGGCAAGCCTGAGTCTTCTTGAATACGTACAAGGGTTAGATGGCGGAGAACTGTACACCTGAAGCTAACTTCTAACACACTGCCAACAGCGCAGCCTGAGGCCGAGCACCCAGGGACCTGGGCTTAGTGCGCATCCTATCGTGTACGCAAGACTTCACACCAGCCATATTCATTTTATTACGCCACAGCCACCACCTTCTACCCTGGCTTTCTCCACAACCACACCAAACATTCTTCCCGGGTTACTGCTCTCCATCTAGCTTCCAGGAAAACTAAAGGTACAGTTAAATAATGTGTGAACTACTCTACCACAGCGAACATTAGGATTATGTTAAAAACAGCTCTGCCTTGGAAAACACTAGAATTATTAAAATAAATTAAAATGTATTAAATGAAATACTTACCTGAACTGTTAAAGTAGTACTGCTGCCTTGGGTATCCAGTATTAGGAGGAAAAATGCCTAAGCATGAAAGAAATAAACATCTCAATGGCGGGAATATAAGGCTTTAACTGATAATCTTTCCAACAAGTCCGAGGTTCTTTATGAAAAGGCCTAGAGTCACTTCAAATGATTTCTAAGCCACTGTTAAACTCCCTTTTGTTTGAGGGCCAGCCCTACAGGGATCTGGACGGGGGTGGGGTGTGTAATGAAACCCTACTTTATGCTCACTGTAGCTTCTTAAAGGTTCCTGTGGACTTAGGACAGTCTCTGTCCCCGAAGGTACCAAGTTTGGCTTTTGATACCATAGTACAAGGGGAGATACTCTGGCTAAAGAGAGAACCTTCTCCAAGTTCCCGGACCTTCCTGGGAGACTTCTCCTTTGGTCATAGCTGACTGGAGAGAGCGAGGGGCCAGGGCACAGCCTCAGTGCCACCCTCATCTTACAGGAGGCATCAAACAGCAGCTTCCGCGTGCTCAGTCATTTTCCAGGAGGTCCCTGTGCCACTTCAACTCTCAGCTCACCCCAGATCTTTCTTCTAGCTTTACCAGAAAGCAGGCAGAGTGTGCAGGCTGTTTGCAAATGCCACTGAATATTTAATTTTCTACTGTGTTACTCTGAAAAAAGATTCATGTGTTAAAAATGTCTCCTTAAAAAACAGGTAAGATTAAAAGGAAGACAACTGCAATTTTAGATGTTATAATTGCGGGGAAAATCCTCCTTAAAAAGGAATCTAAGCACTTGCCCAAATTTTGTACTGTGTCTGCAGAAAGCTTAATAACCACTTAATCTCCAGACACACAGAAAAATGAAACAAAAACAATGAACATTTGAGAACATTTCTTCTCCGTTATCAGTACTCGTTACTGGATTTCCATGATTAAATTGTATTGACAATACAATAAAATGGAACAATTTCAGTAAATAAAACTCCTGCTGCTTCCTCCAGGTACACACAAGAAAACACAGTAATGGGTCAAAAGCAGGAGAATGGGAATCTACTTCAATGCAGCACAGCCTATTGAATCATCCTGAAGTGAACACAACCTACTAATAAAGGTGACAGAGCAGTGCCGAGAAAGCTTTCTAACATCATGAATATTATATGGTTCTCAAGAACACCAGTCATCGGCACAAACTGTGAAAACAAATTATTTATGGTTCAAGAAAAGGTAAAATAGTCTCAGAAGATTTTCCATGAATAAAAGATGAAATATTGCGACTCACATGGTCTATAAAACAAGTGCTTGTGCAATAGTTTCCTTACAAGTCAAAACTGGTAGAGCATTTTAAATTAAGAGATCAAAAAATGCATTTGTTTCTAAACAAAGTATTTTCATTGAGCATCAATTTGAAGAGAAAAACAAAGAAAAAATGCAGAAGCCAAGCTTTAAGTGAAAATATGAATATGTCAGTATGAACATACAAGGGGTGATCATTAAAAGCAAACACAATTTATTACAGTAAGATATACTACCGTCCATCTCCCCGAAGTGTTCCCCCTCACTCAAACACACTTATCCCGTTGTTCTTGCCACTTCTCGAGTAGTTCTGGAAGTCTCCTGCTGGTGAGGCCCATCCGGTAGAACTGGTTACATCATTATGGTGTGTCCTCATCCACCTTATTCACCACACCTGACACCATACAACTTCTAGCTCTGCCCCGAAGTCAAAATGACCATAAATACTAAATGTTTGCAATGAATTCAGGACATCAAGGCAGAAATGACAGCACAATGAAGGGCACTCACAGCAGAGGTCCCATAGCTCCTCCAGAACATGGCAAAAAGGACAGGGCAAGTGTATTCAAAGACAGTGGGAGTATTTGGAGGAGATTTTGGCAATGCGTCTTTTACTGTAATAAATGGAAATTTAAATGTCCACCATGTTTTCTATAACACCTCGTATATCTTGTCTGCCAAGGACCTAGTGGTCATTCTGGATTCTCTAAATGGCTGGCCTTGTACTTCAGCCTTGATTTGCCTTTCTTTTCAAACTTCATTTTACAAGCATATTAATTCATGTCATATTACACAGAACATGCTTTATTTTAAACTCAGTGCAATTTTCTGCAGTTTTGAGGAGACTGCAGTTTCCTGGGAGTGGCTTTAGGGCTGAAGGTATGAATACACACTGATACTTGCTCCTGAAGAACACCTAAGAATTGAAATTTGGGTTTGTGTCTTCTCTTCTGGAGCTATGTGAGGGTCTATACTAGTTGCTTTATCTCCTGGTACAAAAAGGTGAGCATATTAGGGGATTCCTAAGCTGAACCGCAAGATACTTGGAGTTGCTTCTGTTCACATTAAAATTAAGATGCATTTCGAACTTGACATGCCAAAGGCATTTTGCTGTATACCTGCACATGTCTCCATGATTTTCTTCAGAGGCCCATGTGTGTACATTAGTCCAACAAGGATCCCGGCCAGATGCCCTGCGAAGGAAGTCCTAGGAGGGAAGGAGACCTTTGTGAGCGTTTGTTCTGCTGCTGATTAGAGACATTCGGTCTTCTCATTAGCCCAGTGCATGTCAATTAGTCACAGCCTGCAGGCTTTGTTCCGAATCACATCTTTTATGCTGAGCAGCATTTAACTCAGTCCAAAGGACAACATTTCCCACCTTAAAAAAAAGACAATGAATAACAACCACCACATGTTTACACTCCAACACACTGTCCTGACCAAGAGAAATGGGCTCACTACTCCAGGAAACAGAAGCATGTTTTCAAAATAACCTATTAGATTCTTCCCAGGTTTCTCTTTAGACCCTCTTATCATAAAATATCAATGAAATCCATTTTCTCAGTTCAGAATTAAATCTGGAATTATTCAGTTATTGGGAGGATGATCTATCTGTACACACAACAGATCAGACTGCTGTAATTTTATATACCACTGGCTAGTAAAGCAGAAAGCAAACAATACTTAGCAAAAGGGCCTGCGATGCCTACGTGTACTCCTAAACTAGTGTTCACATGTATCTTTCAGTCACTCGGCAAAAAAGCAACTTGCAATTTGAAAATTAAGTTAGGGCATTACATTGGTTCCATTCTTCCTAAACTAATAGTGGCATCACTGATATAATTTATTTTCAAATGTACATTTCTACCAAAGTGGGAACCCTCCAAAGGACCTATGGTACTTCCCACTTTCTTGCGGAAGGAGTATACATGGAATTTATCAGCTGAATCCTATCCCAGTCCAAGTTTAACAAATTACTAGAGATTCTCATCACAGCCCTGCATTTTACCACAAAAATGAGTCCTACAAGTGAGTTGTTTTTCAAGTAACTGACCTCAACTGCCAGGCACCTGACAGCATCCACACAGAGACACATGGCCTTGTGTACCTTTAATTGGCCTTTTCTTAGGTCTCACTCCTGTATCAGGTCTAATCTATCCCAGCCTTTCCATTCCTACCCACCACAGCTATATTTCTAGCCCTCATAGGTTCCTGCCTGAACTACTTGGGGAAGTGCAGCACTGGCTACAAGGCAAGCCCTACATAAATAAATGCTGAATGAGTAAAAGAATAAATGAAAGAAAATCACTGAGCTGATTTCCTGCCACCCAGCTTTTGCTCTTCAGTGGATCCCAACCTTCAGTTATCCTCCTAGGACAGAGGGCGTGTCACAGCCATCTTTTGGAGTCCACTGGCTTGCTCACAGAATACCTATCACGCACTCAAGGTCTCCCAGCGCCTGGTCTCACCCACCTCTTCCCTCTGACCTCATCACCCGTTACATTTCCACACACCCCAAGCACGCAGACGTGATCACGAGACTAAGTTTAACATCGCCTGTCATAAAAATCATGCCCTAGTTGAAGAGTCCTTCTTTCCTTCCACTGTCTTCCCTCAGAGCCACTTCTTCTGCTTCTCCTATTCAGCCTGTTGGGAAGCAAGGGCTTTTACATGTTTGCCTATCTGTCCGCCTCTCACACGCAAAAACTCTCCTAGGGCAGTCACGTGTCTTATTCACATGTTAAGCAACCTTAGTAGCTGAAAAAAAAAAAACAACTCATAAAGCTAAGTGAATGAATAGATTTTTACAGTTTGGGGGAAGTGATCCTCCTCTCCAGAAGAGGGGCAGGGGAGAATTAAGGTTCTGATGAAGAACACGGCGATTTTTGTAGTTTTTGTATGTGTATTCCAAACACCCAGAAGAGTGCCTGGCATGTGACAGACATGCAAATGTGCTGAATGAATGATTCAAGTATGCCAGGGCTGCTTCACCAAGAATACCAAGAGGTAAACTAAAACCCTTAGAGCTTCAGTTTGGAGTGCTTGCTGCGATAGGGTAGTTACAAGGTTGAGAATCTGACATTTAGCAACCTACAGATGAAATTCAGAATCAGAGCCAAACCACTTCATCTACTGCAGCAGCAACTTACAAGGTAAAGAGGCTCTGAAGCAGCACAAGTAACACAGGTACAAGGCATTTTCATTAGCTCAGAGCTATAGAAAATCCACTGGCTCTCCGGGAAGAAATAGTCCACAAGGAAGGAACACTTGAGATGGAAGGATGATCAGAACCTTCAGGAGACAGAACTGCTGCTTGATCCAATCAGCCAATCAAAGGACACCATTGCCCAAACAAGTCCCCAAAATGTGTGCATGCGTGTGTGTGCGCATGTGTGTGCATGCACAGGCACACACACACACATTCACCACATACACAATCATTCTCTCAAGGGAGCTACTATTTTCATCAAATACATCTACCTGACAGTGTGTATAACCTGATAAAAGTGTGGGACTGGAACCTGGCTTCCCATTTCCTGGGAAGAACAGTATGAACTATGTTTTTCTTCAGTGTGCTCCCCAACACATTATGCTTATTTTCTCTTTATAGACTCAATAAAACCCTCCTCATTCTAGAAATGGGGAAAGCAAGCGGCATTTAGAGACACCAAGTGGCCAGGGTCAATTTTTTTTTTAAATCATAACTTTAATTTTTTTTTAAATCATAACTTTAACCAAAAGTAATTGTTAAAAATCACTATTTTCTAATTTTCTAAACTAACCTTCATGGTTATATAGATATAAACATAGAAATTTTCAATTTTAAACCCTAACTATTAGACAATTAATCTTGCACCTCATTTACAATTTAGAGTACAATACAGTAAAAATGAATTTCTTAGCTCTCTAAATGGGTTTTTAGATGTTCGAGTTATAATCTGTAATTGCCCTAATAAAAATGCAAATAACCAGGGAAGGGAGCCTGGCTGGCCAGAGAACCCACTGGATCATCCTCCAACATTTAGTCTTTTCCATAAAGGTTCCACCTTAAAAAATGTATCTGTTCTCATTATTTAAGTTCTACACAGATACTAAGTTTTAAAATAAAAAGAAGAGACTGTGATCTTACTCAATCAAATGTGAGACGCTCACAACAGTACATGTAAAAAAGGGGAGTAATTTTCCAATGAGAAAGGAAACACAGCTCAAAGTGCAGCAACTTTTCCCAGGCAGGTAGTAACCCTGTGACAAACCACCTTCCTTCGCCTTCCAAGACACCCATGTCCTGAGAGAGGACATACACACCTGCAGAGGGCAAGAGATGGGACCAGAAAGTTATCCCTGACCCTACAAGGTCTGTGGAGGCAGAAGGAAGTCCTGTGCTTTTAAAAAGGGAAAACATACATCTGAGTGCTCTGACCGGTGGCTGGGACCAACCTTCAAACAGCTTTAAAGACAGACTGTGCTATTATGACCTTAATTAGATATGCTAAGCAGAAGTTTTGAAGTTTCAATCTCAGAGTAAGCCTGTGGTTTCATTCCATTCTTCACTATATGCAGAAGCTGACATCCTTATCCTGAAGTGAAAACAGTTCATCACAAATAGAATTTCTGACATGAGCACCAAGTCACCATGGTTATATATTCAACTGGAAAACATTTTCTAAGTACAAATCACAGCAGAAAGGCAGCCATTTATGCAGACTACTTAAGTGTATTAGTACACTGTCCAAATACAAATACTTCATCTTGCCATTGCTTTGCAATGGTATAACCAATTTCTGGGTACCATTTCCTCCTTGCTACCATCAAACTTTTAATAATTCTCTCAGTTCATGTTTGAAAATTTAAAAAATCCTCCTAGTGTGTGCAATAAAAGATCTGTATTTTAGCATCCTATTTCTGATGGTAAGGATTGGAACTACTGCTGCTGGTGGTAAATGTGCTGTCAACTGGATAGTCACTCCTTTGTAGGTAATTCTCCCAACTTTTAAAAGATTTTCTCTTTATTTTGGACATACTGCCATTACACTATAAGCACTCTCTGGTAGATTTGTTTTATTTAGCTTGCTTGCAATCTGCAATTTGCAATGCTTTTCAATGTGAGGTTTCACATGTTCATACAACTTTGAAAACTTACCCATTCATTTTTCTCCTATGGACCTCTAGATAGGTGGTACATATGTGTGTGTTTCCAAAAAAATGTTTCTTATGTAAAAAAAAAAAAAATAAAGATGAAGCCAAATCAATGCTGCCATACATTATTTATAAAGGAAAATGATGGTTAAAAGGCAATTCTGGAGCAAAACTAAGACTAAAATGTTATGGGTTTCAGTGATATTAACAATATTCAGATATTGTTAACACCACAGAGAGCATTCTTTCTTTTCAAGGCATCCTTGTAAGAGGCTATTTGTAGGGCTGTGCTAAATGGTTATGCAAAATGTTTCTGCCCTGGTGTGCCACCGTTAAAGAATCAAAAGCTAGAGCTATGATTGAAAGTTGTGACAAGCCATAAAGGTCCTCCTCTGTTAAATGGCAAATTCTTTCCACAGCTGAGGAGTTTGTTCTCTCAAGCATGGCTCAGAAAGCAGAAAATGTATTACTGTAAAACATAATCTCACCGTGTACGCAGAGCAAATGGCCTCGTTAAGGACATAACTTGATGGAGACACAGTGTTGGACAAGATAAAGGAACAACGTAAGGTAAGAGGCAGTCAGCTAGAAGCAGCCTATTACACTTCCCATAATTTCTTTCTGTAAAAGCTGATAATACCAGGTGGGGACTGAGCTGATCAGACGCTCTGGGACTTGGGGAGTTTAACAAATGGTCCCAGGTTAGCAGTGCAGCAACAAGATGTAGTGAGAATGGTTCAGGTTTTTTGAACATTGATGCCACTAGGAAAGACCTTGACAGAGTTGCATCTGCCCGAGACAAACGGCTCTTAAACGGCCTGCTGACTGTCCCCCATACCCTCTTCAGCCACAACACCAGCTCGTGTCTTTGGCAATGGCAATCTAGAGAAAGCCTATCTATAGGTTTTCTCTCTTTACCAGGCCTTCCTCCATTCTCTCCTTCCTGCCTTTTTGGCCTCAGAAGGAAAAGGAGCCACCTTCCTGTTGTAGGTCCCCAAAGGCAGCTATGTTGGCAGCACACCCATTAGTATCTAGAGTATTTGGTTTATTACTCATGGTCCTAACTGCAGA